AAGAAAGTTAAAAGTAAAGAAAGGTTTCCCAGGAGGTCAAAGTATATGAAAGGCTAGCTAAAAGAAGCAAAAAGTTGTGAAAAGCAGAATACAGTAATAGCTAAAAACTGAAACACAAAATTGTCAAAAATTGACTAATTATGATAAAGTAGATATAAAAGGATCACTGTTTTTGAAGATGGTCAAGTGACATCAAGGTATTTATATGTGGACGATATTTGTAATTTCAGTATTTTGAAAAGTGTAACAGCTACAAAAAAACTAAAAGTATCTAAAGTCATAGCCTCCATCTCTTGAATGAGCTTATTGTTTTGATTCATAAACATTTTTTTAAAGCACAATGCATGTAGGAGTACTGTAGTTAGATTGCAACAATAGTACAAATAAAACTGGCACACATTTATTTTATTTTCAAAAAATGTGCATCAGATGAGTGAAAGGATTCTCAGAGATATCCTGAATGCATTATAGTGGGCGGGGCTTAGTTGTGTCCATGGGAACCAGAGGCTTCCTCTCTCCTTCCCCCCCTCAGCCCTGACTCTTCTCTCTCACTACTTTACACAGTGAATAAGAAGTGAGCTGGACATCAACAAGCCGTGAGGTTGAAAACAGTCCTCACAGAGGATCCCTCGTATGTTTGTGGACCGATCTGTCACAGAGAGGCACTGATCACATCAGCCGGGAACATCTGGGTTTAAAAGCTTCATGAAGCTCCTCAGCTACAACGTAAGAACCAACTCTTAGACTCTTAATGGTTTCTAAGTCCATCTGTCTCTCTGCAGCTCATTCAGTCAAGTTTTATTCTTTTTCATTCATATGTGAGGGATTTCTCACCTGCTTCTGCCTCATCAACCGCTGTGTTGCACGTTTGTCCTTTTTAGTTTTCTCTCTTTTCTTTACCTCCATCTACAATCTACCATTTCAAAACTGCTTTTTTCTTCTTCTTCTGATAATTAATAATTCTGTTTCTTTTCAACACTTTTCATCCCAAACATCCCTCCTTGGGCTTTATAGTGAACTGTGAAATAATTTGTGTGGAACATGTGAACAGCTCTGCCTGTCAGAGAGGTGATTCTTTGGGGCGGACAAGCCCCGGCGAGCCTGGGTACGGAGCAGTTTCAGACTGGCAGAGAGTGACTCATTAAATGGCATGAATGGAAGGTGGAGTCCTCTGAGAAAAAGGACGCGGCTTCTCGTGTAGGTGGAAAATACTGGAGTTGTTTGAGTGTGAAGCTTGCCTTTGACTGTTACCTTTGAGCATTTTACCTTCGTCTAACTTGGTCTAATGAAAAGTGAGCACTTTTTTTTATTTTTATAAATGAGCTGTCCCAAACAGCACTTCACACTAACTGTTCAGTGATGCTGACTCTCAATAAAGACAAGAATGCACTTTAACCATTCAAAATATAACACAAGTAAAATATTTGAAAGCTTTTTCTTGTAATAGCAAGACAGATTTACTTGTCTCACCATTTTCCACTGGTTTTGTCCTTTTATAGCTTGTTACTTTCACTTAGTGGTTAAACCTGCATTAGTGTGACGATGAATTCAAGCTTCATCAGGCATGTTGTTCTATAAAAAAGTCTCTTTTGTGTCTTGTTTCAAATGAAAGAGTGAAAGCAAACTGAAGAAAAGTCTGAAAAATGTGAATTGGAAAGTTATTTGACGAATTTGCACAAGGATTAATCCTCAGTTCTGGTTTGATATGGGATTTAATGATTGTTTATGGTGTGACAGATGTAGATTGAAATTATGTAGGCGGGAAAATCTCTAATGCTGATCCTTATTTTGCATCACCGTAACTGTTTGCTGCTGATTCATAAACGTAATCCGTTTGAGACATTTTAATCTCATCATGTATTCCCAATTTTTAATAAAAATGAAAATATTATCCATTTACTGTAACTTGATAACCATTAAATGGTCTTACTGGAATCTTTGGTCAAACAGCTGATAGATGATATAAACATTGTCTAATAAGGTGAATCTTGAGGTTTTGTTTTGATGATTTGTTGGCCTTAAATAAATCACATCAAACCATTTTACAGATACTAAGAAAATGTAAATTGCAAATATAATTCTTGTGATAATGTAGTTACACCCACCTAAAGATCAACAAACTTACTTTTGTCGGAATAAACAAATAAATTGGAAACACTTATAATGAATAATAAGCAGATTAACATTTCATAATCAAAAACAGAAGATGAAGCACACTCCAAGTCTGAGTTAACAAAACTGAGATTAAATATTAAAAACATGTGACCTCAGAGTCATTTGTTTACGATCATTTGCTCCAGATTTTCATTTGGCTTCAACCATAAATATCGAACTCAGACTGCGGTTGACTAAAACACCGGCGACGCCAGCTTTAATTTTTATTTTCACACTACTGGTTAACTTCCACTGTTTGTCTGAGTGCCTGATTACTTCCTCAGGTATCCTGTTAGTGACTGTAAATACACTTACAATGGCTTTATTGAAGTATTTAATACTGTAAACATTCTACAAAGTATTTAAAGGAGGTTTTTGACATTGAAAAGGTTAAAAGAGAAAGAGATTAAATAAACTTCTGAACTACATGGTTGTGAATTTGGAGCTAAAATATTTGTGTTTTACAGAATCAGGGCAATGTTGTCAGTAATTATAAATAAACAATAAAAGTGTGATTTATTCTGTCGGCAGGTTTTATTTTGCATGTTTGACAGTGTTTACGAGGGTACTTGTTATTGCAACGAGTGTCCAGTTTTCCCAACTTTGTTTGACTCTTTGTTTTCATAATGATGACATGTTTTGCAGTCTGTTGTATAATTAATGAGTTAATTACGCCTTTTGGTACTGTTTTATTTTCCTCCGTACCTTGTATCACACAGCTCTAGGTGTTTATACAGTATGTTCAGTTGATTTTCATTGACACAATTTTTTTTTTTTTTTCATTTAGCCTTTATTTATCCAGGTTAGTCTCATTGAGCCACGAGAACTCATTTTCAAGAGAGACCTGTTTAGGGAGCACATGGTGGGGTTAAGGGCCTTGCTCATGGGCCCAGAGTGGGGCGAATGAGGGTGGGGGCAAGTGTGGGTGTTTCACCCACCCCACCCACAATTTTGATGTTGTCGGGGCCGGGGCGTGAACCGGCGATCTTCGGATCACAAGCCCACCTCTCTAACCTCTGCGCCACCACTCCCCCAATTAATTAACAATTAATTCGACCTTTATTTATACAGGTTAGTCTCATTGATGTCTAGGACACAGTGGTGAGACATGCTTTTTTTTTACACTTCCTCTTCTCTTGTGCTTCTCTTTTCCTTATCTAAATGAAAGGGCAGCGCCTCCCATGAGGCTGCAGCCTCAGACACCTCCATCTGCCCATGACTGTTTGTTGGTGTTTTACTTGTACGGGCTGTACGGAAATGTAATTTTGTTGTGCTTCAGTGCAATGACTATAAAGCTGTTTCTGATTCTGACTGAGCCACGAGGACTCATTTACAAGAGATATATAGACAAGATATATAAACAATACTTGTTTTTAGCATATAAATGAAATAAATGTAGTTCCTATGTTTTGCTATTTTCTTGAGTTTGTTTAGTCTCAACATTAGAAGCTTGATGACCCAAATTAAAACCTTTTTTTTTTTCAGAAATAGATCTTGATTAACTCTGAATGACAGATGTAGCTGCTACTTTTCTACTGGTGATTATGGTGACATTATTTACCCCTGCCAGTTCCTTGCAGATGTCGAATGCTGTCTACCATGGCATGTTAAGATTCATAACTGGTTGTAGCCACTGTACCCATCACTGCACCCTGTTCTCCTTGGTCAGCTGGTCATCATTATCTACACATACGCTCACACTGGTTCATTTTCATCTATAAATGCCTCCTTGGTCTGCTGCCTTCTTATATCTCCTCCCACATGTCATGCCGTCAGTGCAGTTACAGCGTGCACTCTCAGGCCATCATTACCTGCAGCGTTCCCTCAGTGCAGACTGAACTGGGCACAAAGGCCTTCTCTTGCTCTGCTCCTGCACCTGGAACACCTTGCAACAAGAACTGAAGTTGTCCTCTTTCATTTCTTCAGGGGGTTTTAAACATTTGATACGGTCAATAGAAACATCAAAGTAAATATGTTCTTGTTTTTATTATTTTAACTTGTTTTACAGCACCCTGATTTATTGTTTTATAGCACTGCTTTTATTTTAACTGCATTTTGACTGTAGTTTATTGTTATTATTGTCTGTACTTTATATGTTCTGTCTGGAACAGATCCCTCTTGTAAATGAGTCCTGGTGATTCAATGAAACTAGCCTGTATAAATAAAACTTGAATGAATGTTGAAGGAAACTATGTTAAAAATATATATTTTTAGAAGAATAAAGTTTTTATTATAGATATGATACAACTCTTTGTATCATATTAAAAGAGACATGGCATCTAACAATTATCTCAGGCCAAAGAACTCTAGAAAACTTGCTCTTCACCCTGTGAATTTGTTTTTGAGTGAAAAGTAGTACTAGAGCTCCTCATTATAGCGAGAAGACTGCAAATATTTCCTGCCAGTGAAAAAGCAAATGATCTGGGCATGGCAATATATTTATTTTTGCTCAAGTCAAGAACTGTGTGCAACACGTGCTTCAGATTCTTGCAGGTTTGCCACTTTAAAAAACTGAACTAGAAGCTGGAAATATTATCACATCAAGGTTCTAGAAATGACCCGAGAATATGGGTTTCTGACAAGTCTGCTGTCAGGTATGCATGCAAATATTGTCACATTGCAAAGAACTGTGTCCTTACAGTAATGAAGCTGTTAAAACGAGGTGGATACTGTGGATATACAGTATACTGTATGCAGCTGAGTTAATGAGATGTAATGACAGAAATGCAACAAGTTCAGCTCAGATGCGTTATTATCACCAACCTTCTAAAATGTCTGCATCTCTTTTCATTCTTCAGTGAGAATCACGGCTGCCAAACAAAACCCAGCTAGATCATGCGAACACTATGATCCCAACAATGTGAGTATTAATGATATTCCTGGAAACCAATCCTCTGATACCGAGGTGTCAAACTACGTTCACTAAATGGTGGGCCACATAAAACTCATGGATTTTTTTCAGCATTTGCGCAAAAGCTGAAAAAAATTCTAATATTTGCACTGAAACCTGATGAATATAAACTTATTAAACATCCAACAATCACAATATCTTGTACAGCAGTCCTTCTTTGCACCGTTTGTGAATATTGTGGAGAGAAGCACACATTGAGAAAAGTTGATTTATAAAAATTAAAGTAAACTATTTAAGCATTGATCCTCAGGCAGTTCAAATAAAACAGCAATGACTGAAAATATGATCATGTTTGCGTCTGAAAGCAGCTCCTAATGTGACTTACTGGCCTGCAACTGGTGTTGCAGCAGCACAAAGTTTATGAATCGCTGCAATAACTGAGGAATCTGTGCAGCTCTCCTAGAGTAAAGGGTGTGGGTTATTTGATTGATTACAGGGACACACAGCTGCCTTAACCGCTCTCAGTTTGCTTATTAAAGCCTGGACATCCAACTCGTTGTTGTTTGTCATAAAGTACGGATGTTGGGTGACCCGTTGTGCCTGCTCCCATTTCCAGTCCAATCAAGTCAGTTCTTGGATTTTCAGAGCATATCTGCACCAATCAAATAAAAGAAAAACTTTAAACTGGTGCTTTTATTTTAGAGTAACTTGTAATTGTACTCCCCTTGATTAATATTTCAATATCTAGCTCTGTTTAATTTAATTTTCTCTGTTTTGACGTCTCGCTGTGTTTTCTGCTCGTCTTTGTCTTCTCAGGGTTTGGCTGGTCATCTTGTCAGTTCTGATGCATGTTTTCCTGACATCGCCTGGTGAGTTTCAACCCATCGGCTTCATCTTAGTGGTTCCCAACTCTGGTCCTTGAGGAACACCATCCTGCATGTTTTAGTTGTTTCCCTGCTCCAGCACACCTGATTCAGTGATGTAATTACTTCCTCGTGTTCTGCTGAAACCTGTCAATTACCCATTAATTAAAATCAGGTGTGTCGGAGCAGAGAAACAACTAAAACATGCAGGATGGTGTTCCTCAAGGACCAGGGTTGGAACCCCCTGTAATGTAGGATACTTTATTTTGCTTTTTGATAGATGTAGCTTTTTTTGAACATTAGGTGCTGCTCCCATGTGGGGTACAGGAGTCCGAACTAACAAATTCTTATTACAGCTGATTTATCAGGGGGAAAAAAGGAAATTACATTATTTAACAGTCCCAGCATGACTTTTCATTGCTTTAATCTGACATACCGTATTTTTTGGATTGTAAGGCACAATATCAATGAAAGGGTCTGTTTTCATATAAAAAGGCACGTTAAGCAAAACAAAACAGTCAGATGTCAAATTTTATTCTGCTCATTCACAATAACTACATGATATCAGTTCGAGGTCAGTAAGCACAACCAGAATTAACACATAAGGCACACCTGATTATAAGGCTCACTGTCGATTTTTGAGAAAATTAAAGGATTTTAAGTGCACCTTATAGTCTGAAAAATACCGTGTTCAATAATGCCATAACCTGAAATGTTTGTGTTCATTCATCTATTGGCCTTAAGATAAAATGAGCTTTTCTATGTTAATATTTTATTTCTAAAACTGATTTTAAATGTTTTTTGCAACTATATAGAAACAAGACACTCATGGGTAAACTCTGGATTAGAATGGTGGAGGTGATGCTGTTGCAACATGAACTGGTGGCAAAATGTTTTCCTTGTTAAATTAAAGATAAGACAATGTGCATGTTTACTGCAACACTGTCATCTTGATGTGACTGTGTTTATAAACTTCTTTTATTTGATTTTAATTGCTTTTTTGTCGAATTGTTGCCTGTACTTTATACGTTATCTGCCTGAAACAGGTCTCTCTTGTAAATGAGTCCTCGTGACTCAATGAGACTAACATGCATGAATAAAGGTTGAATGAATGAAAACACAAAGCAGTTCATTTCTGCTTTAAGCACAAACAAATTTAACATTTTTAACCAATATTCTAGCTCATGTTAATGAAAAAAAAAAAAAGATTAGGATGTTTGCATTAGACATCTGCCAGATATTCTATAGGTTCATGTTCTGCCTTTTTATCTGCTCAAATTTTTATTTTTCTAATTATTATTTATTATTCTGATGACAGCCAGATGTCAATGACAGCACATTCCATCCATCCATCCATCCATCCATCCATCCATCCATCCATCCATCCATCCATCCTCTTTACCTGCTTCTTCCTTGCCGGGTCGCGGGGGTCACTGGTGCCCATGTCCAGCTGTCACTGTGCGAGAGGTGGGGGACACCCTGGACACGTCTCCAGTCCATCACAGGGACATAGAGACAAACAACCATTCAGTCTCTCACTCACACCTAGGGACAATTTAGAGTTACCAATCAGCCTAACATGCATGTTTTTGGTCTTTGGGAGGAAACCGGAGTACCCGGAGAAAACCCACTCATGTACAGAGAGAACATTCAAATTCCACCTGGAAAGGTCCCTGGCCAGGATTTGAACCGGTGACCTTTTTACTAAAAGGCAACAGCTCTACCAACTGAGTCACTGTGCTGGCTGACATCATTCATTAAAATGAATGAATAAATAAATAAAAAAGTTATCTTGGTAACTGGTGAGTAACCAGTTTCTCTCTCTTTGTGCAGGTGCTTGGTGTTTGGAGCCGGAGCCTGGAGCCTCTCTTTATCCAAGAATCCTGGACCTCCCATGGCAGGATGAGCTGTGCTGTGACTCACCTCCTGCCTCTGTCAGTGAGGAGGGAGGCAACTCAATCACACCAGAGACAAAGCGCTCCAAATTAAACCTCCTACACCCTTCTCACTGCAACTTCAGGAACGTAACGATTGAATCTCAGCCTCGAAGGCCTTCTGGCGGTAAGAGTTTATGTTTTAGAAGTATCTGTCGGTGTACTAACAAACCTGTTGAGTCTTGTTGCCATTCAGGTTAATGAAGAGCTGCTCAAAGAGTTGATGGATGAGAAATGATTAATTTAAAATATGTCTTAAATTCACAGGATAAAAATCTGGTTCTGACAACAGGATTCGCAGTGCCTGATTAAATAAATGTACAATTGTGTAAAAACCTTGTACACCACAGTTCCTTGGGTAGATTATATGGGCTGAGTGTGGGGGGAGTGGTGGCGCAGAGGTTAGAGAAGATGGGCCTGTGATCAGAAGGTCACCAGTTTAACTCCCTGGATCATCAACATCAAAATGTGGGAGGGAAAGGTGAAACACTCACACCTGTCTCCACCCTCATTTCTCTCACTCTGGGCCCTTGAGCAAGGACCTTAACTCCCACCATCTGCTCCCCATGGCACCCTGGATAGCAGCTCTGCTCCACACAGAGGGCTGTGGTAGCTCGGTGGTCTGTGGTTGTGTCAGGAAGGAAATCCGGCGTAGAAACAATTCCCAAGTCTTCGTGTCAGTTAGTTCACTGTGGCGACCCCTGAAGAAGGGAGCAGCCAAAAGAAGAAAAAAAAAAGTGGATTGAGTGTCAAAGAAGCTAAAAAGATAAATTAACATTGAAAAGTGTTTTAAAAAAACTTTTTAATTTATGCATTAAACAGTTAAGTTTTACAGCTTTTGGCTGCAAGCATTGTTTAGTTTCAGAAAACAAGTTTTACTTGACTTGCAGACCTTGACCACCCGCATTTTGAAACACGTGCACAATTTGTTTTGTGTCACAACAAGTTCGAACCATTGGCCTGGGTTGTCATCAGGCTGTTTCTGTGAGCAGCAAGTTGGTCATCTGGCCTAAAACATTTGATTGTTGTACATGATGATTGATTGTTGCTCTGTTTGCTCATGCTAAAAGCCTACTTCTGAGATTCCAACAGGAGGTTGGCTTGAAACACAGCAGTGGAGGATAGATATGGTTGGCAGACCGCCAACGATTGATGAAGTCCTCTGGATGGGGGACGAAACATTTCTCACTTAAAGAAACTGGTCCAGATGACACAATTTAACCTTTGTATGTTGTTATCTACCTGGATGATTGAGCTTACAAACCTTTTTAGAACCATTTTTTAAAAAACAAACTTCATTTCAGAGTTATTTTTTGGATATATTTGCATAAGATGAAGGTTTTTGCTTCAGTTTGAAGACACCTCAGGTGCTAATTTAATGAATTTAAATTAACTCACGTTGGTTTTGAACACTACAAATAAACTTAAATAAAGTTAACTCAAGTTTGAACAAAGTTCCTCCAACAGTTGAGCTGGTGGGCCCTTCATAGTTAAGTTAAAAGAGTTAATCTGACTGTGTTTTCTTCTTTAATTGTTTGCAAACAGTAGAAAGTACGAGGGTGACTGAGTTCACATGGCAGCCCAGCTGAATCATCATTATGAAACTGCTCGTATTGTCCTTGAGGTGATGAAGGTGGCAGTTGGACGATACTGGGAGATGTGGGGGCGTGAGGAGGATTTCTGTCTTTACGTTCTCGTGTGAGACGCTGCGATGCACAAGAGCTCTGAGCTTCATGTGCAACAATTAAAGAGGGAGGTTAAAGGTCTGCACGATGTTTCCACTCAGCAACATCAGGAGATATTCAAATGAGAGTTTTGCATATTGCTCATGTCCACTCCGCTCACAGAGGAATTTATAGAAACCAAACTAAAAGAAAAAGCTTTGTTTTCTCTGATAAATGTTCACATTTTCATTGAAGCAGCTTTTTTTTTTTTTTTTTTTTGTTAAGTTCTTATAATATTAAGCGTGGGATGGTTTCTGAGAAACCTCCAGCAGGAGGTCACAATGTACTAACACGCAAATGCATTTTCTCACCAGGCATCTGTTTGGACGTACTGTGCAGAATTAGTGAAAACTGGGAAAATGTAACTTGTGATCTGAAGTCTGGAGAACTGGATGCTGGTCACATGGCTCTCAGCTTCCAGTGGCTGTAAGTAAAAACTCGAGCTCTGCTGTTGAATGAACGAGTGCCCGAGTGTTTCCGCCTGCTCACTGGGGGGTTAACACCTGTTTACTTTGATCAGCGGGGGAGAAGATGTGGGCTGCAACATTCACTTTGTTTGAATGATAAAAACAGTTCAGCACAGACCTAACACACAATTAACAGGGTTTAACATAAAACTGCTTATTTTGTTCTCAGATACTGTGAGCATAAAAATAAACAGAATAAAAAATTGAATCATTTATTTTTTTGAATTTTATTTTACATTCAGCAAAAATAAATGTCCACTAGATTTAAAATGTTCAATTAATATAATTTTTTCTGTATTTTTAAACATTTGTATCACAATTTAGACCCAAATTAATACTGTAGTTGGATTTTAACACACATTTTATTTCTCAGATTCAGAAAAACACACATTTTTCATCCATTTCCAGGTCTCCAGACAACGACACAGAGAGGAACAACTCCACATCTGACCGTCTGGTTGTTTGTGATGAAGAACATTCTCTCTCATGTTCATTTCCTTTGGACTCTGCAAGAAGCTTTATCATCATGGTGACCGCCAACATCTCCAGCGCTGCAGCTCCACCAGTTCTGCTCAGAATTCCTGCCAGACCAGGTGAGAACAACCAGAAAAGCACAGAACATTGTTTATAATTAATATCTTTGAATAAATTGATTCACAACTGGTGAAAACACTGAAAGCTTTTGGTCATAGCAGGCAGATGTGGAGGAGGAAAGATAAACTCTTGATACACAAAAGATTTTCACGATTTATTTCAGTGTATAATTTAGTTCAGCCTCAACGACTAAGAAGCAGCTTTAACTCACATTTACTGAGAAATATGTTGTACCTCTGTGGTAAGTTTTATAAATTACTTTGTGATTGGAATATAAATATTTATGAAGAGGCAGCAAAAAGAAGCAGATCTTCATTGTTTAACTTTGTTGGTTCTCAGATTAGTAAAAAAAAAACAAAGATTTAAAATTAAGACTCTTTGGTGCTCGCCTTCCAATAAAACCAAAGGCCAACATACGTTGGTTGAGCAACTTCACTGACTTCCTTAAGATTCTGAATTGTAAGAAAGAGAACAGATGAGAAGCTGGAAAATGTTTTAAATTCATATTTTATGTTCTTTATGGTCAGAGATCAAAAACTGAGTTACCAGCATTCATCGTTTTTTCTCTCTCCAAAGGTTAAGGACCCTAAAGATTACATTAAGCTCTGCATGCTGATGATGCAGAAGTCCTCAGTGTTTAGACGAGTAATTCTTTTCATTGGAACGTTCACCCTTAAAGTGATGAATGTGGACAGATAAGGTTAGAGGACCGAGTTCAGCTGTGACTGGCAGACGTGAGAGGAATACAAACATGGAGCCACAGCACTGTGTGTGTGCGTGTGTGTGTGTGTGTGTGTGTGTGTGTGTGTGTGTGTGTGTGTGTGTGTGTGTGTGTGTGTGTGTGTGTGTGTGTGTGCGTGCGTGCGCGGGGGGATTGTCAGTGAAGCTGTGAGATCTCCACAGTGATACACAAGGACTTTACGTGCTCTTTGTTCAGACAGTTCGCTCTGGTTAATGGGAGAGAAAAACAAAATGAAAGTCATATTTTACTGTTTCAGTCTTGTTGATATTTGATGCTTTACGATATCATTTTTTTTTTTAGATTGGATGTTTTGATTGACGCATCCACACACTATATTTTTTTATTTTGTTTATGTACAATCACATTCAGTCACACATGGTTGTTGTGGATTCAAATCTAGGTATTATATTAACATAACTATATTTTCCTTCTGATTCACTACATTTCTTACAAAATTTATTTCCATTCAGGATCTTACACACACAACAATAATTGTCAGTCCATCCATCCATCCATCCATCCATCCATCCATCCATCCATCCATCCATCCATCCATCCATCCACTATCTTTACCCACTTCTTCCTTTTGGGGTCACAGGGGTCACTGGTGCCCATATCCAGCTATCACTGTGCGAGAGGCGTTTGACACCCTGGACATGTCTCCAGTCCATCACAGGGACACATAGAGACAAATGAGACAAACAATCATTCACACTCTCACTCACACCTAGGGACAATTTAGAGTTACCAATCAGTCTAATGTGCATGTTTTTGGTCTGTGGGAGGAAACTGGAGTACCCGGAGAAAACCCACACATGCACGGAGAGAACATGCAAACTCCACCCAGAAAGGCCCCCAGACCAGGATTTCAACCGAGGCAACCTCTCCGTACTGAAAGGCAGCAGCTCTACCAACTGCACCACCGTGCTGCCCACAATTATTGTCATCTTATAAGATGAAACATTTAGGTGTTAAAACCATTTTGCAGTAAATCAAAATACTGAAGAAAAGGTTCAAACTGTGCTTGTGAAAGCATAAATAATTTTAAACCAGGACCTAAAATATATAATAGATTGATTCTTGCTGCATTTATCATCTACTGAAAGAGAATACTAAAAACCACAAGAGCAGGTTTATTATTGTTCAACATCAAAAGCTAGTTTATGTTTAAAGCTTTATTTTCATGTTTTTGCAAATACTCTGTTAGCAGTAATGTTCAGTATTGAAAAATGTAGTTTTACTTATTATTGAAGATATTTCACCTAAATAATAGTTATAAATAATCATAATAATGTTGCCCTATATGCTATGTCATTAGTAATGTAGTGTTATACTCCGTTGAAACAATGCAAAACCACATTTACTTTTATTAATTAAAACTACTGTATGACATGCAAGAAGCGTAAACATCAAGTCATCTTATGTTTAAAACTTACAAGAAAACATGCAAACACTAAAGCTAATTTTGTTATATTTTGTTATTGTTTTTCCACTTCACCGGTTATGGAAAAGCATAATCTTTCCTCCCATTGTGCCTCTGAGCAAGATGCGTAATGTTGCCATGGAAACAGGTGGTTAGCTGTGAACAATGCTTGAGGCAGATTTTTCCATCTTTACTTTTTGCGTCATAAAATATCCAGTTGAAATGACTATTAGTGCCATTTAGTGCCATTTACCACAGAGATGAACATTTACTACGTGTGCACATGCAAATTTTACCCAGTTAATGATTCTATAGTACGAGAAGCAAAATCAGCATCCAAGTGCCAACATTGAGTCTGATGGTAAAATGTCTTGTGTGATCATTGTCAACAGATGAATGACTGTAAACACATCTAAAAACTTTTGAAATTCAAAAAAATTAAATTGATATGACTGCACGTGTCCTGTTTTTAAAGAGGTTGATCTGAAGTCAGTAGTTAGAATGAGGTAAAGTTTACTGCTGACATGAGGAAACAAGATTATTAGTCCTATTCTTTAAGTGTATGAGTCCTGGCTGGTTATAAATAGCCAATAGTCAAATTAATAAATCACTTTGAAAATCAATCAAGCTGAAAAAACAATCAGAGCATTTTGATTCTTTTATGATGTTATCAACATCATAAACTTTCTTTTTCAACAGTAAAACCAAATCCACCATTCAGCCTGTCACACATTCAGACCATTGATGCAGAACTGATCCTCAGCTGGGAAGACCCTTTAGACTTTGGCGCTGATCCACTGAGATATGAAGTCCGATATTCCTCCAACACCACTCACTCGGACTGGCTGGTGAGTCCTCACCTGTTAGAAATCAAGTGGTGCTTGTACATGTTAGCGTTAATTTTTGTCCTCCGTCTCCAGGTGGAGTCTGTGGTTGAAGAAACCAGATTTTCTCTGGTTCTGAAACCCAACATTGACTACACCATCCAGGCCCGTTGTGCCAGCCTGGATGAGCCTCCATTGTGGAGCGGGTGGAGCGAGCCTTACCACATCTTCTTGGACAGTAAGAACAACTTTATTTCTTTTATGGTAACCAGTACCTTCTTAGTACAAACCTTAGCTCATCTTTAAAGCCAATACCTTGACAAAAACCTGTGGAGAGCAACTTATGATCATGTGATGATTGGTACCTGATATTTATAAAAGAGGAACTGAATCACAGAGCTGCTGCCTCTCAGTGAGTAGGTCCCTGGTTCAAACCCCGGTCCAGGGGCCTTCTGGGTGGAGTTTGCATGTTCTCTCCGTGCATGCGTGGGTTTTCTCTGGGTACTCCGGTTTCCTCCCACAGTCCAAAAACATGCATGTTAGGCTGATTGGTAACTCTAAATTGTCCCTAGGTGTGAGTGAGAGAGTGAATGGTTGTTTGTCTCGTTTGTCTCTATGTGGCCCTGTGATGGACTTGCGACCCGTCCAGTGTGTACCCCGCCCCTCGCACAGTGATTGCTGGACATGGGCACCAGCAACCCCCGTGACCCAAAATGGAATAAACGGGTAAAGATAATGGATGGATGGATGGAACTGAATCACAGCTGACCTTGCATGCCAGGAACATGCCCTATAATTAAGTTAAAGTGGTAGGGGAGACCAGAGACAACTGTAGCAATTCTCCTGATACCTCGTGGCCTAAGCTTGATTTAGGGCTCTGGTTTTTGGACCGACAGCCTGAGCACGCCGTTAGCAGAAAGTAGACTCTTAATGTTTCAAGTCCAGCTGCCGCCTGCTGCAGAACCATCCACTGGGACACAGTAACCATCCAAATAAACAACGTTCACTTGCTTTTCTGAAGCTTTTTGCCAATCCCTGCCACGATTGACACCCAGCTTTAAAAGCATTCTTCTTCTAATCAAGGTGCCTACTGTCTTCAATAATATAGATTTAAAGAAATAACTTGTGATCTGTTAGTGCTCAGAGTATTGGAAGTGACTTTTAGCTACGATCACTCCAAATTTGAGCTCACTATCTATAAATTCACTGAATTATAGACAGTTTTGGATTTCCTAAAGCCAAGTTTGTTTGGTGGCCACATTAATTTGGATTGATTTTGAAAGATCAGTTGCAGATGTTTATCCAACACTGTGCATAAATTGTTACTTTCCAAGAGCTTCACTATAATACACCTGGTAGTTCATGAAACGTTTTGCTAACAGACAGACTGTAAGGAATTGGTGACATATTTAGAATCCTTCATAAAAGTTTTTTTTTTTTTTTTTTTGCCAGTTTAGACAGATTGAAATAAAAATGCATTGGTTACATGCAGATACGTTGTTCATTTTCATTATTATTCATTATTTATAGCTATTGTTTTTGGTGTATTATATTTTGTTATGCTCTTTAAGCAAAAGTCCTGTTGAGATTTAAATTTTATCTTACATGGGTTCTCTGGTGAGACAGCATCAACAAAAACAGCACTGTACATGCAGTAAAGTTATCTTGGATTTTGACATGGTAACCCAGTTTTCTCACACCTAGATGCAACCACACACCAAAATGGAAGCCAGTACCTCACTTATTTTTCAAGATATCCAGCTCACAATATGAACAAACATATTTATGATGCACAACTACGAAAATCTAACAAAAACAGCTAAACTTAATGCTAACTCTTCTCCGGACCTTTGTTAACCAACAACAAATGAACTGAGTTACACCAGAGAGGAGACACTGAAACGTCACAAAAACAATCAGATGAAGGGGTGATCATTTCATTGTAATCTTTACATTATGAATACATATAAATAAGAAAACCTGTACTTAGTTGTAGTTTCTTATTTGTACAACTAGAAAGTCTTATCAAGTGGTCCAGAGATGTTCCTTCAAGAACCATCTGGATCACTTTGGCATCCAGAGTGTCATATCTGAGCAGAGCGTCTACTAGTTTCTTGTGCTCTTTACTGTAAGTGTTCAGGTTATTTTTAGGTCACGTGTATGACTCCTGCAGGAAGAATGTAAAAATAAAAAATAAATAAAAGTTGATCCAAAACAGGAAGTTGGAAAATATCCGCCTGCTGTGGAGCACATGCAACTGACAAACACATGCAGGAAAGCATAGTTAAAGTAGGCGATATGTGTTAGACTATGCTTCTCTTCAGGTCTGTACGTTGCTTCTTCCAACAATAGACACAAAAAACAAAAAGTCTCTAAATGTAACTTGACGCCAGATCCATGTTGAACAGTAACTAAAATGACTGCATCACACAAATGAGAAAGGAAGTGGATTCAACCCGTGGAAATATTGAGCACGTAAACAGATTGCCAAAGCTTTGAGCATGAAAAAACAGAAACCGTTAGGGGTGCAAGAAGAATCTTATTATGCAAAAGAGGAGACCATTTGAAGGTGGTACTCCAAATAAAGCAAAGAGTTGCTTTTACAAAGCTATGCTTACAAGTTCTGCATCAGTCTGCTGTTCAAACATAAACTGCTTTTTACTGTTATGGAGCCAGACAGGGAATAACCCTCCATATCTAAGTATATTCAACTTTTAGTCAACAACAAAACCCACACAAATACTGTGGAGACAAAATACACAACTAAACCCATACAATACACAACTTTTTTTATTAACAAGGTTGCAAGCATTAGCACCCTCATTAGCCCTCCTTCCTATGACTCCCTCCATCTCTGTCACATTGCTGTTTTTAATCAGTTTGAGTTTATCACTCTGCCTTCTTTAAAAGAGATCACTCGTTGCATGAAGCCTTCACGGTCTCCAAATGATCCAATTCCACCTCATATTTTTAGTTTTGTCCCACCGAGTCTTCTATATGTCTAAGATTATAAATGGCAGCTTGGCAAATAGACTTGTGAGTTTTAAGCATGCAGTGGTGACACCACTGATTAAAAAGCCTGGCCAAGACTCCACTGTAATTGCACATTTTTGTCCAATCTCAAATATCCTCTTCCTGTCTGGAGAAAATGTTTTATGGCCAGCTGATTTATACTTACAGTAAAATAGAAAAACTTGATGAGCTGTCCCTGTCTGGTTTTAAAACTCGCCACAGTGAGGTGGCATTGTTGAGGTTTTTTTAAAACTATTATTTCTTTAAGCCATAAAGTCATTTCTTCATTCAACCTTTATTTATACAGGCTAGTCTCATTGAACCAGGAGGACTCATTTACAAGATGGACCTGTTCCAGACAGAACATATAAAGTACAGACAACAATAACAGTAAACAATTACAATAAACTATAGTAAAAATGCAGTTAAAACAAGAGTAGTGCATAAAACAATAAATCAGGGTGCCGTAAAACAGGGTGAAATACTAACAACAAGAACATATCTGCCTTGATTTTTCCATTGACATGATCAAATGTTTCAAACCCCTTGAAGAAATCAAGGTGGATAACTTCAGTTCCTGTTGTAAGGTGTTCCAGGTTGCAGGGGCTGAGAAGGAAAAGGCCTTTTTGCCAAGTTCAGTCTGAGAGCACATGTTGTAACTGCACTGATGGCAACACTGTGACCTAACAGCTGCCTTTGACACAGTGGACCATGAGACTACCTGGAGAATTTGAGCATTCAGGGTTGCTCACTTAGGTTGGTAGATCAATCGATGTTGGTTGTCCCAAAGTTAAAGAGAAGGTTAAAGAGGAGACCGAGCGTTTTCAGTCACTGCCCCTAATCTGTGGAATGAGCTGACTTTGCACATCAGACAGGCCGACTCACTTCCTGTTTTTAAATATTCTCTTAAAATACTTTTTTCCTCTTTGACTTTTAACTCGGGAAGCACGGTGGTACAGTTGGTAGAGCTGCCGCCTCTCAGCGAGAAGGCCGCCATGGTTCAAATCCTGGCCGGGGGCCTTTCTGGGTGGAGTTTGCATGTTCTCTCTGTGCATGCGTGGGTTTTCTCCGGGTACTCCCATTTCCTCCCACAGACAAAAAATGTTAGGCTGATTGGTAACTCTAAATTGTCTCTAGGTGTGAGTGAGAGAGTGAATGGTTGTTTGTCTCTGTGTCCCTGTGATGGACTTGCGACCTGTTCAGGGTGTCCCCTGCCTCTCACACATTGATGGCAGGATATGGGCACCAGTGACCCCCGTGACCAGAAAAGGAAGAAGCGGGTAAAAGATAATGGATGGATGGACTTTTTACTCAGAGACGTTTATTGTTTTATTCTTGTTTTCATGAATTTTCAAGATTCAAGGTTCAAGATGACTTTATTGTCAGTTGTATCACCTGTGGTACTGGAGGTGGCATGAAATTGTGTACTCAAGGTCCCAGTTACACTCAAAAATAGCAAAAATATAAGGAGGCCTTCTGCTCCAGGTGGTGAGGTGAGTCTGGTGCTGGGTGGTCTATGTGGGTCTTCAAAGCAGGCATAAAATCTGTTAAGAGCATCGGGCAGTGAGGGGTCCCGAGGGCATTATGCACCTCTGCAATTGTAGTCTGTTATGCTCTTAATGCCCCTCAACATGCTCCGTGTTGCCAGATCTAGCGATAGAAACAAGCAATCAGCTCTATGAAAACAAGCCCCAAAAAAGCCCAACTGGCAACCCACCACACTGTGTAAAACAGAGGCCATTTTAAACTGTACAAATACATTTATTATGGCATTACACATAAACAGCAAATTTATGCTAAACACTTTGAATAACATACTTTTATGACAAAAATCATATTTTTTCTACATATTTTTTGTACTATTGGTGCTTAGTGTATTCTTAGTCTTGTGTATTCTTAGTTCATGACTCGGATCTTTATAGTGTTTTTCTTTACAGTTTGTATTTTTGTTGGATGGAACTGGGACCCTGTGTACATAGCTTCGTTCCACCTCATGTACCGCATGTGATGAGAATGACAATAAAAAAATCCTTGTATCCTTAATTGATTTTATTATTTTTATGTTTGCTAGAACTTTTATGCATTTAGAATTTTAGTGGTTTACTTTTTTCTTTTATCAGTGTACAGCACTTTGACCAACAGTGTGGTTTTTTATAAAGTGCTTTATAAATAAAATTGTTGTGTACTGTACGACTGTACTTGAATGACATCGTCAATGTGCTGCTCAGTTCCACATCATGTATGAAACAAAACAAAAGTTTTCAAAATCCTTGAAGTTTCTCTTTTGTGAAACAGTCTGGATGAGCCTGTCAATTGATGAGAATGAGTCTGATGTTTATTCTGCAAATGTCCTTTACTGAAGGAGACATTTGTGCAGCTTCAGAACATGTCCTCTCTTCTGAAGTGCACGATGGAAGAGAATGATGTGCACAATGTAAGAGACATGCTTATTATCAAAACCATTTTTTTTTTATCACTGTTGATTTTTTTCCCCCCCGTGCGCAGCTGTGAGCTACATCCCTGAGAAAGTGGTAGCCCGATCGGGGGAGACTGTCACGTTGTACTGTGTATTCAACGACCGCAGCATCAACGCCAGCACAGCCACGTGGATCCTCAACTACACACATCTGCTTGATCGCAGCCAGTACCACCCAGTCAACGAATGGGTAAAAGAAAAAAAGAAAAACATTTATTTTAAATTTTAAAGAAAAGAAAGGATACAAATATTTACCCTTCTATTAACCCAGGTCAGCCAGGTCACAGTCCGTGCTTCAGCCACGGGCATATATGACCTGCTGAGGTGCACACAGAACTGGAGCCATTCTTACAGCCAGATATTTGTAGAAGGTGAGATTTGTTGCGCCGCCTAATGCAAACCCTATAAAGACAAGTAAAACATAATTCATTTTCAGTTTAAGGGACTTGACCAGCACATTCCAACTACACCAGAACTAAGTGAAGGAAAGTTTCTTTTCACTCGTAAACGTCTGCACTTTTCTCTGTGTTTCAGGAGGGTTCATTGATATAACCTGTGTTACCAACGGTGACATTGATGCTATGGACTGCAGATGGAAGAAAGATGAGTGGACTAAACTCCAATTCAAATACAAGTAAAGCAGATGTTTTTCTTCATTATATTATAGTTATGTTTCTGTTGTGAAGTGTGTTTATATGTGATATTGAGAAAATCCTGAGCAAACAATTAGGACTCAGTGTGCCAAAAGCATGGACTCAACAGAATACACTGTTCCAGACACATCCTGGAAATACGTTTGCGCAACTCTGTGCTTCTCTGTAAACTCTATCTTGGTGTCATCAGCTTGTTTGGCATCCCTGAAAGAATAAATATCCTCACTTAAATCATCCAGAGACAAACTAATAAATGCTCCACGTACTGATAGAATGACACTTTTAGGGTTAAATAACAATAACTGTGCTGTTTCTTCTGATATATTTGAGCTGCCTTTTGTTTTTTCCTCCTCCGTTTTGCTTGTTTAAATCTATTTTGCTCGAACAACCTGCTGTAGGGACGTCTCGCATGATCACACCTCGATGGTAAAAAGTAGAAACGGAAAGCTCATGTTATGAATGTCATATTGTGGACATAGCAGGAGCATAAAAGAGTTAATAAGACTGTAAGAGTTGTTTCCACATTGACGTTTTGTGATTTTATTGAACTTAATTTTCACACCTGTAACGTTTTAGTTCAATATCTTGAAGCACTTTGGTGCTGGTAGTTTGGTAAAACTGCCCACAGACAAAGACTAATGGAAAACACCTGCTTAAGCAACAACGACGTCCTTTGTTGTAGTCCCCCACCTCCATCCCCCCCACACACATGATGTCTTTGCAGGAGCAAGATTTTGCAACGACACACAAACACACAGTACAAACAAAAAAATCTTTGTCATGGCAGATGGCGACCATTGTTAAAAACTAAAACAAGAAAGGGAGACAGAGCTGGTTTACACTAAAATAAACTCATTTAATTCCACTTTGTTAAACTGAGAGAACAACATTGATTAAGCCAAAATTACCTGACTTCATTGTTTTTATTTTGTTTTCGCTCAGGTGGGCAGATCTGCAGTGTGACGTGATGGAGGAAAAAGAGCGAGTGGGTGAGAACGTGGGCACGATGGGACCCCCCTGCATGCAGGTGACCTCCAAACAGAAAGTTTGCACCATCCACCCTCTGAGGATGAACTGCTACAAACTGTGGCTTGAAGTCCCATCCCATCTGGGTCCAGTCAGGTCCAAACCCATCTACCTGTCACCTATAGATCATGGTGAGCAAGACATGTGAATTATTATGTTTTTAACTAACTTACCTCATTCAGGCAGACTTTTAACTAACTTCACTTGAAAGTCAAGGATACTTAAAGTGAAAAATTACATTGTATGCACTTTTAAAATATGATAATATTTTTAAAGAACATAACTTGTTTATTAGCATTAAATTTTAGGAAGATTTGGTATATAACGAAAAAAAAAAAAAGGCAGCAAATCTGATCAATTACCAAACTAAAAAAAAAGCAACTTTAAGATCAAGGATTTCATTTGTTGTTTCAAATGTTACAACAGAACTCACTGAAATAAAGCCGTATTACTTTCAACAGTGTGAACAAGAACTATAATCTACAGAAGAAAGACTAATTCTGGTGTTATTGCTATAAAATGAATCATACGCTGTAGGTCGCTTTTGATTTTCCAATTCCCAAAACAATGGACGGTAGCTATAGATGAGATCTAAAAAAAGTTACATCTGATTTAAATCAGATGTAACTTTTTTAGATTTTTCTACCTGGATTATTGAGCATCAGGATATAGATGAGATGATTGAACATGATCATAAAAATGTGAAGCTTATTATAAAATGTTTAAATGATCAAAGATATACAGTGAATAAAAGTACATGATATAGTCAAACATTTAAATTAATTAAAAACATTGATTTTTAATTTTTACACAACTGAAAAGAACACTTCTTCATGAGTTTTATTCTGGATGTTCTACAGCAACTGCAAAATTTCTCCACACATGGTAAAGATTTCCAGAATTTTTATGACGCACTGAGTTTCTGTGTTTGTCCTCGCCCAACCTGCAGTAAAACCTCACACCCCCACCAAAGTGTGGGCGGTGAGCCGGAGCAGCGGGGTCCTGATGGTCACATGGGAGCCTCCGTCTCTGCCGATCGAGGGTCTCCAGTGTCAGTTTCGGTACCACTCGCTCAGTGTGATAGAGAAGTGGAAGGTGAGCGCGTCACACAGTTTACCCATCACAAGTCTCCACCGATCAGCTGTTTGTATTGATGCTTCTTCAAAGCAAGTGCTACCAAATTCCCTCCTAAATATAAATTTTAATAGAAATGATACTGATTGTTGCTGCTTTATTTAAAAAAATACATTATTCTGGGAGTAATATTTCCAGAATGCTCAGTTTCTGATTGAGCCTGAACGAGCAAAATTAAAATAATTTTAATGTGTCATTTTTTCTAAATAATAACACAATGACTTTTTTTTCCAGCTCATTAGTTTTTATCAAATTAACGACACCCAGTTTCAGTCCAGTTTGTTAAGTTTTCCTGGAATTTGAGGGCGTATCTAACTGTTCTTTTGCCAATTTTCACACAAAAATCCTGAAAATTGTAAAACAAAAATTATTTCCTCTTGCACTGAACTTTTGTGAACAAAAGTGTTTAGACAAACAGGAGCGCAAAATTACAATTTTGCTTCTGCCAAGGTCAGAGCTAAGGCAAAAATCAAATTAACTTTCATGAAACTTGGTGGATGGATGTTCAAAGGGCCAAGAACTTGATTTAATACATCTTTCACAAAGAACTAGCATTAACAAACACTGAAAAGGCTGTAACTCTGTGAAATTACCGATACTGACTTAATTGATGTGGTACTAGCTGAAAATATTAACTATTTGGACATCAACTATTATTATTACCATATACTTTAAGTGCATTTTCTAGGATTTTACATGGATATTTTCAAGGTTTGACCAAAATGGCTACAACGTTATCATGTCTCAGTGTAAGATGATCTTATTTTTAAACAGTGGCATGAAATACGGTGGAGGATGTTCCTTCAAGGAATGCAAGGCCTTTATTTTTTTTATCTTGATCTGTATCACAACAGTCATTCCTTTAAAATAATGAATTTGATGTTGAGCTGTTTCGATATGCTTTCTGCAGGCCCAGAGTCCGGTGCGGGTTCCCTGGGCGGAGGTAAAAGTACCAAACACGTGCCAGGTTTACGTGGTTCAAGTGCGCTGCATGCACATCAACGGGGCCGGCTACTGGAGTGAATGGAGTGACTCTGTCAACTCCACAACTCAAAACAGCCGAGGTACACCCATTTTCTCCCCATATAAACTTTCAAAACCTTCTGCTTTTTGAAGATACACATTATTTTCATCACGTTCTCCACTGCAGCTCCTGATCGTGGACCTGATTTCTGGAGATTTCGTGCAGATGATCCCCACAGAAACACGTCTAACATCACTCTGTTATTTGAGGTAAAAAAGGAAAATATTTAAGTTTAAAAATAAAAATTATTTGATCTTGTTTTTGGGCACAAATTGTTGATGAGCACAAACATCTTCCACCATTGAGCACCTCCTGGCATCACCCATGACATTCTGATACTGTGAGCTATAACTAATAACACTTTGTCTTTGATTTTGTTTTCCAGCATTTCTCAGAATCTGGGAACTCCTACTGTGTGGATGGATTTATTGTTCAGCACCAGATCTGGAATGGCTCTGTGGTGAGGAAGACGATCGATCTGGTGTCCTCCTACAGCTTCGAGTGGAACCAGGAGCTCCAGACGGTTTCTGTGGAAGCCTACAACAGCCTGGGGAGCTCCAGCAGCAACACGAACATGACACTGGAGAAACAACCCAAACGTAAGCAAGGAGGAATCCAACAGGAAGCTGGAGCAGGCTCCGAGGAAATGAATCTACTTAGCACACAATAGTTAGAGGCTCTGACCTCAGAGCTGGGATCTGGACCTGTTCCTGAGGAAAATATTTAGTCATCATTACACTGGAACTGCAGACATTCAAATAATAAACAAATGAGTTAATGCTCTGAGTATACTCTCAAATAATATATTAGGCTGCTTCTTTGTGTTTTTAAAGGAGTGTTTTAAAGGCATGAATATCAAAAGCCTTCAATGTTTAATCGTTTTGTAGAATTAATTAATAATTTATTAAAAACTAAAATTCTGAGAGAGTTCTAAAATGGGCTGTGGAATTCATGGTTTGTAAACACAACGTCCAAAATTAATTTATAATCATCCATCCATCCATCCATTATCTTTTACCCGCTTCTTCCATTTCGGGTCACGGGGGTCGCCGGTGCCCATGTCCAGCTATCACTGTGCGAGGGGCGGGGTACACCCTGGACGGGTCGCAAGTCCATCACAGGGACACATAGAGACAAACGAGACAAACAACCATTCACTCTCTCACTCACACCTAGGGACAATTTAGAGTTACCAATCAGCCTAACATGCATGTTTTTGGTCTGTGGGAGGAAACTGGAGTACCCAGAGAAAACCCACACATGCACGGAGAGAACATGCAAATTCCACCCAGAAAGGCCCCTGACTGGGATTTGAACCGGGAACCTGCTCGCTGAGAGGCAGCAGCTCTACCAGTTGCGCCACCGTGCTGGACTAATATACTTTTCCCCCCATATTTATAATCCAATTTTTGGCTGAGATCTGATTATTTCATTCATTCTGACATGAAAAACATTGAACATTAACATTTTCAGCTGTTAGAGGGACCTCGAGCCTTACGGCAAGCCAAGTGTAGGTAAAAGTGGCTATTAATGAGACACTTGTCTTGCCATACCAAGCCACCTTCATCTTGCTCTGGAACGCCTGGAGCAGACGTTAAATCAGCTGCATTTCACTGCGCCGCCAAGATGAAATGTAGCTGATTTGACCATCAAAGTGCATTTATTAAGTAAAAGTTCAACTGAGACACACCTTTGCTATAAAGTCGAGCAAACAAATAATTGTTTTTAGGTGGTTATCTTGTTAAATTTCAAAGAAATGCACGGCGAGTCCTCCATCTGTGCGCTCCCGCAATCACAAATCGATTTATGAAATGCAGCTGATTTGACCGTTAAAGTGCATTTATTAAGAAAAGGTTCAATTGAGAAACACCTTTGCAATAATTTCGAGAAAACAAATAATTGTTTTTAAGTGTTAATCTTCTTAAATTCTCTGTTAAAGTCCTTCCGCGCACGCTCTGGCGGCCGCCATTTTGGCAGCCAATCAATTTTTGACACAATACCGGCCCTCGTTTCCGGGTGGCCAGCGGTGACGCATAACATACATGATGCATCAGCAGTGATGCATAATAGATGCAACTTATACGGTGAAGCGACTTATTTAAATAAAGTTTGAATGAATTTATGTTTTTTTCCACTTTATTAGACTTTTTTGGACTGATACGACTTATATGGCGGTATGACTTTTACGGTGGAAAATACAGTAAAATGGATCTGAAATTCTCTGCAGCTCATAAGTAAGTTGGTCTTGCAGCTTTTACTGCAGGCGTTAAGGTCCTGTAAAGATGTTTGATCTAAAATCAGAAACACTGTTATTGTTTGGTGGAGAAACTCAGTCATTCAGTAAAACCAGTTAAAGCTTCCAATAAAGAATCAATGACAGTGATTACAGGCAGAAGCCCAACATGGTAGTTAGTGTTCGGTGCTTCATTGCAAACTTCTGAGAAATACAAATGAACCAAACATGTTCAGGAAGCTGATAATTTAAACCTTTGTAAGGATATTGTTTCTCTCTTGTTTGTTTTCATGAAACATTTTGGGCACATCAGTTCAAGGCTGATAGTTTCAGGTTTTATCAACCACAAGAGTTGTTTTTATCGTATCATCAATTAGTACCCGACCAGTTTACATCCACCTGCCTTATAACACATGATGGAAACATGCATTATGGAACACAAACATCCCATTTAAGCATCAGCACTAGCCTCAGCAGACCTCATAAAAAGCCCTGATTGAGGCACAGGTGCCATTAGCATTAATGGTGAGAGTCTAAGTGCACCGAATACTAACAACGAGGCTAAATTAACGTGCCCTGTATGTGAGGTATGTTTATGTGTACTTTTCAAATTACTCATGATTCAGACAGTACACATAAACAGAGATGAACATGGCTTTCTTAGAAAAATTACAATATCTGCTCATTTTCAGAGAACATGGCCAATAGGACTTTATTCCTATGAAACTATGTTTTTTTATACAAAGTATATATATAAAAGATAACCTTACAGAACATTTTGCTGCCGGAGATGCCATAATTTCATTATTATGTCACTGAAATTATTGAATATGCGTTTGTAGTTACCAGATCATGAGCTCTAACCTAACTTTTTGCAAACTGTGTGATGCGTTTCTGTTCTTGCTGCAGGTCGCTGTCTGCGTTCCTTCCATGTTTCGGTTGTGAACAGCACCTGTGTGTCTCTGTCCTGGAGCCTGTTGGACGTCAGCTCTGTCCCCGTCTCTGTGGTGGTTCAATGGTCCCCAACAAGCCAGCAGGACTCTGAAGACTTTGGCCTCAGACAACAAATGTGGGCCAGACTGCCTTACGCTGAGCACAGACTCTTGAGAGGTAAAACATATTCTGCTCATTATTTTTCCTTAATTTAATTTAAATTTCTAACATTCTTAGCCAAACTGACCCATTGTCATTCTGATGTGTTGTTAAAGGTGATTTTTTTAGCTCGGAGGAGTACGGTTTCTACTTGTACCCCGTGTTTGCAGATGGAGAAGGAGAGCCGATGTTCACTTTAGGTATATTTTGTCTGTCACTGCCGATGACAATAATAAGTGTGAGCATAATCAGTGTAATTCAACATCTGATGTGTATTTTCCTTTGAAAACAGCAACAAGAGGAGAACATGCTGCCTACATGTTGGTGATGTTCATCAGCTTCCTCTGCATCGTTGTGTTTATCACGCTGGTTCTCTCACAAAACCAGTAAGTATTATTTTCATATTTTTTTTATTTTATTCCTAAATTTGACATTTTGTTTTGTACTAATTGTAGAGCATAGTGTGAATAGAGTTAGTTTCTCATGCAGCTGTCTGTATGAAATGATTAATGACGGTAATCTCTGATGTGCCATTTCTATTCATGAAAAATTAGAAATGTGACATTTAACGGGTCGCAGGGGTGTAATTACACTTAATGCTCATTGATTGGAGGTGAGGAGGTCAGGCAAGAGAATGAAACTGAAAAGAACTGTTGCAATGATATGCATTTATGTATTTGTTTCATTTCCAGAATGAAAAGGTTTATATGGAAGGATGTTCCCAATCCCAACAAATGTTCGTGGGCCAAAGGACGCAACTTCAAAATGGTAAATAAAACAAAAAATTATAAAAAAATAAAGAAAAGAAAATCACTGCTTATTGATTTGGAGTAAAAACCTGCAGAGCCCCCTCATGGTTAGAAAAGGAGAAATTATTTTACTTTATTAGAATCAGAAGATAAAATCTCAGTATTTCAGTCCTACATCATAGGTTTAAAAACAGGTTTGGCTCTTCCAAGAAAAAACTACAAGCATAAACAAATCAGGAAAAGGTCATGTTTTAATTATTTTATTATCTAATATTATATCCTCTTTATCTCAGTTATATAAGATAATTAGGACGACATGGTGACACACAGAGAAAGTTCTGCTTTGGTGAGTCAGGGCCACCACCAGAAGATCAATGGGCCCGGAACTCAATTGAAAAATGACAATACCAGCATGGAGAAAAGGAGGAATAAAGATAAATAAAATATAAATCTATAAAATAAAAAATGATCCATAAAGCAGCATATTTGTTTTGAGCTAATCTGATAAATGATTAATTTTAAATTTCCGAAAATTAATTCAGTTAAAGGCTGTTGAAGGGAAACGTCATATCTTGGTCCACAACAGCATGAGTTGTGTGAAACCAAAAGAGAAACCTCTCATGGTTTCCTGGTGTCCCTATGGTTGACTAGAAAAGCCTAAGAATGGAAATAATGGCCAAGCAGCGAGCTGACCCGACTGGCTCTGATTGATCAATCTGCCACCAGCTCCTCTGAAAAGCTCACTAATTAACACCATCTCATTTGTTTAGCTGTCAGCAGAATACAAACCAACACAAAATCTTGTTATAGAGATTTGCTTGGACTTAACGTCAGTGACAATGAAACTCCCCCCCTGAATCCACAACTTGTTTACTTCTTTGACCCATGAAAAAATAAAATAAAACATAAAAGCTGACACTTTCAAAGACAAAGATGCATATTTGAATAATTTAATAAACATTAGTGATGGATCTTGCAGCTTTTTTCTTTTTCGTAACCGGTTCATTTGGTGCAGTTCACTTTTTCTGACTTTTGGGACTTTTATTGTGACAATCCAGCTCTGAGCCATTGGACCCATCACTGGAACTCATTCATCTATTGTTGCAATTGTTTTTAATCTTAATGCTAAAATATTTTAATCAGTCTAATCCAGATTTTAACCCAGCACGACTCTAAATGGCACATTTTGGGATAAGTCGCACGGTGACAGAGGACCTAAAATGGCAGGAAAGGTGGAGAAGTCGGATTTATTCTTAAATAAATTCAAATGAGGGCGAGCAGAAACTACAAAAAAACAACAACAAAAAAAAAAAAACATTCAGGCAGTACAAACTGAATAACACAATGAAGATCAGATAAGGGAGAAGGTATGAATGAGCACAATTTATTCTGGGGGAGTTGATTATTAAGTGAGAGCAGCTGAGAGATTGCAGATTAACCTCAGGTGTGAGTGGCAAAGCAGCAAAGGGAAATTAAGGGAAACATAATTGGATGATAAAACCCAGTCTTAAAAGCAACAAACCAAGAAATCTAATCAAGAAAAAATAAACATAGCAGGCCCAAAATATAATTGTACAGAAAAATGATTACATACAATGAAAACACAGAAAACTAAGTGTTTAACAGAAGAAAAAAAAAAAAAATTAACACAAACGCCACAAAACTCTTTTTTAAATGTGTTGAACTGTTTTATTTACACAACATACTTTTGCACAAAACTTTGTTTTATTAGAAGTTTTTGTAATAAAGCTACAAAACTTCTGCTTTTCAAATTAAAAACAAAAAGATTAATTTTCTAAATTCAGTTTCAGTTCAGTTTATTTATAAAGCGCCAAGTCACAACAGAAGTCGTCTCAGGCACTGAACAGAAACATCCATATATAAACTAATAAGCAGACAGAAACATTTTTATATAAAAATAATAATTTAACACTATTTATCTGAGGAGCAGACTGCTTTGAATTTAACTCCATAGAAGAACTCTTATCTAGAGCAAGCTTGAAGGCGACAGTGGAAAGGACAAACTTTCATGAGGAAGAAACTTTTAGCAGAACCAGGCTCAGGACAGGCGTCCATCTGCTTCGACCGGCTGGGTTTGAGAGGAACAGATACACAATGGCAGGTCAAGAATCACATGTTAAGACAGAAATAGTATCAAATGAGGACTATTCAATTTTAACTATTCATTTAAGTAAATGAGGTCAATGTGTCCTCTAGTAGTCAAAGCTTAAGGCAGCATAACAAGCCAACCATAACTATAGGATTTATCAAAAAGGAAAGTCTTAAGCCCAGTCTTAAAACTGGACAACATGTCAGCCTCACAGACAGAAACTGGAAGTTGGTTCTACAAGAGAGGAGCCTCATAACTGAACGTTCTTCCTCCCATTCTGCTTTTGGAAACTCTAGGAACCGTGAGTAAGCCTGCAGTCAGAGAGCGAAGTGCTCTGTTAGGAACATATGGAACAATAAGATCTCAAATATAAGCTGAAGCTAGGTTGTTGAGAGGTAGCATGTTCTACCCCCCACACTTACTGTTGCTCTGATCGTTCCAGAGCATCACCCGTCATATTCAGATCAGGTTAAATCTGGAGTTTCTTATCTGACATGGATTTGTTTTGTCTCCAGGTGGACACCTTCGAGCAGCTGTTCCACTCTCCAGAGGGTCTCCTAGCCCTGCCGCTGCCCTCTGAAGATATATCTAAAGTTATCATTATAGACAAAGTTCTGACAAAGGCCTTAATCCAAACCTCGAGGCCCCTGACTCCTAACCCTGCAGCCTCAGACACCTCCTTTCTGCCATGGTTCGATCCCAACGTTGAACAGACTGAAGCAAGTGAGACGCTCCTCAGTGGATCTGGATCCCTGGCGATTACTCTGAATGCTTCAACTACGTCAACCCAAAGCTTAGATGAATTACAACCAATTGATCCCATCGTGGCTCACATTCCAGCCGACACTCACAGCTCTGCACAGTCTTCAGTCACATATTCCAAAGTGCTGCTCTCTGATGCGAAGCAGGAGCACCAGCCCGACGATCTCCACTTCAGGGTCGGCAGCAGGAGCAGCCTGAGCGACGAGGGAAACTTCTCTGCCAACAACTCGGACATTTCTGAATCTGTTGCCGGGGCTCTATGGGAGCTGGACAGCTGTCCCGGTGCCGAGGTGGATGATCCAAGACGTTCCTGCTCCTACAACTCCGTGGAGGAGGTTTCTGAAACATCAGAGCAAGAGGACGAAGGGGCAGCGCAGCAGGAGAAGCACTTGTGTTATCTAGAAATGAAATACTCAACGGAGGATGAGGGGAGTGAGGAGGAAGACGAGGAGAGAGAGGAGGAGACAAAAGCGGAGCTTCTTAAAAACGTTCTGAACAGAGAGGACTATCCTCTGCTCAGTCCAGAAGATCTGAGTCAAAGCAGCCAGCTGCTGTCGGCGTCGACTTGTGGTTTCTCTTCACTGTACCTGCCTCAGTACAGAACGGCTGCGTGCACGAGACTTTTCCAAACACAAGAGAGCCAGCCCTAACTCTGGTTTAAATGTGCTTCATTACCATTGTGCTGTGGACAAAGTCGTGCTTTTGCAGATCATTTGTTCTCATAAGACATTGAGATTTCTGGAGCTGAAAATGAAAAAATCAAAATAATAAGTTAAAAATAACTCAACTGTGAATGTAAGAGGAAAACTACCAGCGCTGCTATTGTGTTCTGCAAGAAAAGATGTCAAGAGGACACCCTTCATGGATGGTTTTCTCTCCTTTTTAGTCAGCTTTCAATTCCAGATTCCACTGTGACCCAGCAGCTGTTTAATATTTGTGATTGATGCTAAAAGAAAAAGAAATAAAAAAGTCAAGAGATCAGCAGACAAGTTGAAAAAGTTGGAGTTTGGGTTTTTAGTAAAGGAACAAAAAGGACTGATATCTGCTGGTTTCAGACATCCTGCATATAGTCAGTCATTGTGTACATTTTTAAACTGAATCATTTGCTTTAACGTTGATGAACATCTTTCTGTTGTAAAAATAAAACGGGTGCTGAAAGAAAAGGAAGACGACACGAGAAAAGTCACAGTCTGCAGATTTTGGGTTCCTCTGCTGGACACTGAAGTCGAGAAAAACCCGAGACTTGCTTTGAAGCTGTGTCTAAATGGAACCAGCTGCAGATGTTGCGTGGCTACAGGAGGTTCTGTGGATGATTTATTCACGACATTCATTGGCAGCTTGTGTGTGTTAACTTCTATACCCACTCACACACCTGTTGACTCAAGCTCTGGTTGTAATGTAGTTTGTGTTTTGTTTCAGTTTGTAATAAATGTGATATTTTTGTCTGTGGTCAGACATAAAAATGTAAACTGCTTTCTTCTGGAAAGAAACGACTAAAAGAATGTTTTCAGAATATAAAAAGAAATCATTGAAACTATAGTAAATATGAAAATTGTTATTGTTTATTGAGAGTTTTTGTCTATTTTTCATGGTAATAAAGTATTTCTTGTGAAATTGTGTGGTGTGTGATGCAAAGACTGATGTATTACTGGCACGTACACTTCCTGTTCATTTTTCACACGTTTTGATGATTTAATTACATACTTTGTAGCATACTTTGTGCAATTTTAGCTTTTTGTCCATGAACACATTAGCTCAGACTTTTGTTTTTGGGAAGTTTTATACTTTAAAAAAAAAATCTAATTTTAGTTAAAAAATAAAAAAGTAATTCCCAAAGCATTACTGTACATTGAGATCTTTTCAATTCCCTCAAAACCGTTGTTCTCTTTGAAATCTGCTTCAGCAAACCTGCTCTGTTATCTTCTTATGCTACTTTTACCTTTTAGCTACTGTCCTGCTACTTGCAGCATATAGCTAGTGTTTTGCATCATGTAGCTTTTAGCCAGTATTCTGCTGCCATTAGCTTTATCAACCAAGTTTTAGCTTCATCAGCATATTTCTGTAATCACTCAGACTTCACAATTTATTGTAGCAGAAAATGCTCGTTCTCTAATTATTAGTAAGCTATAACTTGTCTTTAGCTATTTTATACAAAAGGTACATTTGAGGCAAAAAACAAAACTTTAGTATCAATGCTTTCACCAAATTATATATATAAATATAATTTTACAGACTATGAAGTTATTAAAGAAAACATTTACTGAAACAAATATTGTTTTTGCTGTATTTTTACACAGTTCTTACACTGATGTGTTGTTCATTTTATTAACACACACAGGCTGTTGAACTCCAACTTCCAGCTAATAAATCAAATAACTTGGATGTTGTATTTGCATTTTGCAGCCACAAGGAGTCAGAGAAACACCACTGATGGAGTTCAGTGGGCCATGGCTTCTGTGACGTCATGAGTTCCAGGTTGTTTCTTTCCCCTCTTGTGTTTGCCATAAAAGGTCATGATGAGAAGTGCTGCTGCCTTTGGCTCAGAGGAAACTGTAAAATCACTGAAGTCTGATGAACAGTGAGGTTCAGATATGGTTATATAGAAAGTTGGATAGGTTGTGTTAGTGCTCATGGAAAGTTACTGTGTTGTACAGCAACTTTAGTGCTACTAAACAAAGCACACTAATGAGGTTAAAAATATTTTCACTTGTACACTGCAGGCTATGTATGCAGATACAGTAAAACCTGGAGATGCATATTCTTGTCCTGCTTATTTGTATGCTGTGTTCCACATGTTGTCAAAGATGTGGTAACGATGTAAATACAAAACATCTGCTATTTTAATAAGCGGTAAACAAACCACACATACTGAATTTCCATCAGCTAAGTTTTGCATAATGTCTTGCCTCCTGTTTGCATTATGCTCCCATGCTTCCCATTTGCAGCTGGAATGCTAAATCACCATTATACAGCAGTGACGCTCATGTCTGAGCAGCAAATGAAAACGAAGCACTTCACAGAATTATCTGCATGTTCTAGTAAAGACCTCTGGAGAAATTAATGACATCCACTGCTGAGCTGCAGGCAACACTAAACTAAAATCTGCTAAAACACACTTTGGAGAAGCTGCAGAGTTGAATAAGAACGACAGATTTCACATTATGTAATCAAAATAGTTGATAGGAAGAAAATACTTTGCCACAAGTTAATCATTGCCTGCTGATGAAAGACTGTCTGTGGGCTCATTTGTGAGTATTTTTAACAAAATAGCTCATGAATCATCTGGCAGATTTGATTGAAACACTCAGAAAGTAATTATTAGATCTCCAACTGATTAACTTATAGGCAGCTGTATTCATTATGAGCCCTTAACTAAATGGTATGACTCAAAGCTCAGTTTAGATGCAATGAGTCACTTGATAGAAAATCCAAACGTCTTGGAGCGACCTGTGGGTGTTCACTGCTGTAAATAAAACTTTCTTTACTGCTGAAAAAGTACAAATCTAATTCCAAGCTCTGTATAGATACGTCTTTTGTTACAAAACATTTATTCTGCAAATAAAAGCGGATCAGAGAATCAGAGATTATTATTGTCATTCGCACCTCATGTGGTACATGTGGTGGAGCGAAATTATGTACACAAGGTCCCAGTTACATCCAACAATAAAATGTATAAGAAAAACAGTAATAACATCTATGTCCATCCATCCATCCATCCATTATCTTTACCCGCTTATTCCATTTTGGATCACAGAGGTCGCTGGTGCCCATGTCCAGCAATCACTGTGCGAGAGGCGGGGTACACCCTGGACGAGTCGCAAGTCCATCACAGGGACACATAGAGACAAACAACCATCCACTCTCTCATTCACACCTAGGGACAATTTAGAGTTACCGATCAGCCTAACATGCATGTTTTTGGTCTGTAGGAGGAAACCGGAGCACCCGGAGCAAACCCACGCATGCACGGAGAGAACATGCAAACTCCACCCAGAAAGGCCCCTGGACCGGGGTTTGAACCAAGGACCTGCTCGCTGAGAGGCAGCAGCTCTATCAGTTGCACCACCGTGCTGCCCATCTAAGATGTGAACTAAGAAAAACATCAACTAAATATACACTAAGCACTCATAACATAAAAACATTGAACATCAGCACAAACATGAACATGAGTCTGTGTGAGCGGATGTGCACGCATGAACACATCAACATTGAAACAGATCAGCAGCAACATGAAACAGATCAGCAGTAACATGAAACAGATCAGCAGCAACATGATGTGGTTTTTCACAGTGATTATTCTAGTTAGAGATTCATGAGTCTAACAGCCTCAGGGTAGATGCTGTTCCTCAGTCTAGTGGTTCTACACTTAATGCTCCTCAACCTCCTTCCTGAGGGGAGTGGGGCAAAAGGTGTGTGTGCTGGGTGAGTGGGGTCCTTCATGATGCAGGTGGCCCTCTTCCAGCATCTAGAGGTGTAGATGTCTGTGATGGTGGGGAGGCTGATTCCAACAGACTTCTGTGCAGCCTTCACCACTCTCTGCAAAGCTTTTCTTTCTGCAGCTGTGCAGCCTCCATGCCACACGTTGATGCTGGAGCACAGGATGCTCTCCACTGCACACCTGTAGAAGGAGGTGAGGACTGAGCTTCCCAGACCAGCTCACTTCAGCCGTCTGAGGAAGTAGAGTCTATTAGAGAATGGAGGATAAATACAAAAGAAGCATAAGTCAGCATCATCCACTGTGCATGGAGCATCTGCTGCCATCAACCCTGTTGGAGTGATTCAGGAGAAACATTTAGCAGCTTGACATTGTAAATCCCTCATCGATTGCCTGGTTTGAACTTGTTCAGCGCTGGTCAGGGGCTGCATCCACTGATGCTTATCCACGCCGGCTTTGTAGGCCTTAACATCTGGGATAAAGGTTAGATTGTGGTGAGTTCACTACAGGCCACAAGCAAAGGGAAATGAGAAATATCAGTCTTTCTGGTCTAGAGCCACATGTATATTTTCTGTTTCTCTCAGTTATTTCTGTTGCTACAGAATGACAAGATGGTTGGATTTAGATTCTATGGGAGTGTCATGTTTTTTTCAACTTGGCTGTAATCTGTAATCTGAGCTCCAATGCAGATCAGTAGCAGCTAAATCAATCTCATCAACGTTTATGGGGGATTAAAGTGCCAAATAAAACGAGAACCTGAGCTGAAAGTGAAGCTGTGTGAGGGTATCTGTTTGCAGGAGGAACAGAGCAAGCAGAAAAACACAAGAGTTAGATGTCTGTCAAGACAAAACACACAAACAGAAGCTCCGCTGACCTCTGGGACCCTTACCTGAGGCTGTTTCTGTTCCAAAGGCCTCACACAGGATTTGGCAGATCATACGTGTTGTTCTCTCCTCTCCAATGGGGGCTGTAAATATACAAGCTGCTGGGAGCCTGTTGCCTGATTTCTGTCAGACACCTGGAAACGGTTCACTTCAAACAGAAGAACTTTTCCAAGAGCGATTCAGATAAGTTGAGCCTTTAAAACGTTTAATATTAAAACAAGAAACAGATGAGCGGGATTCAGACTGCTGCTTGTGTTAAGTTCCGCTACGTTCCTTTGTCCCACATTCAGGGCTCATATAGGGTGAACCATGTAAATAACTTAGCTATGGATCAATAAATGTGTGTAAAGTTTGCTTTTTCCAACTATCCAAGAAGATGAACAAAATTACATAAGTTTTATTAACCTGCTTTTTACTTTAGGAGCTACTAACTAAAACAAACCAGCTGTAACGGCGACAGCTGCAAAACCTTCTGCTCAATGTTGATTTTTATTATGCAATTTGTCATTAGAACAAGAACAACATAAGAATATTATAACAACTTATGTTTTTTCCCA